CATAGTGCCAGGCTCTAGATGACAGAGGAGTTCTTCAGAGAGAGATGGAGGAGAGAGAGGTGATAGGAGGCTCCACTTGCACCTGTGTGCAATTAATTAATTACGAATCCACTCATTAGCTCAGCCCCATGGCTCCCCCTCACTGCCAAGCCCCCAGCTGTCCAGAGAGCAAGTCATTATCTGAAAAGATTTCCCATTAAACCCGAAAGCAAAGGAATATTTCCAAGAAGAAGGGGTGAGAGCGACAGCGAGGGTGTGTGCATGACTGCAATCAGCTCTCGAGGACTCGCTGGGGCGGCTGGATCCCCATCTTGGCTGAGAATGGTGAAATCGATTTCATTAGCCCACTCAGCTGCTGATTACTTGTGGGCCACATGAAGCAACCCCATGGCCGCCACACTCCAGCCTCTGCCAGGTAGGTGGCAAATGCACATGGGCACAGCCCCTGGGTCCCACCCCACCCTGCCAGGCATAGAGCAGCCAACCCAAATGCAGTCCCAGCTCCTGTTAAAAAAACCCCAAACCCTGAAGATTTCAGTATCGTGAAGTGGGTGCCTGCCTCCCTTTCGTGGCCAGGCGGCAGCTGCAGCCCAGCTATCAGGTTTTTAAACCAGTCAGTGCACACTTTGCTTCACCACCTATTTTTCTATTACCTGCTTTCTGCTCCTCACTTTAGCAGAGGCGCCTCTTTAACCACAGTGATTTACAGGCGGTGTTACGGCAGGACAGGTCTGACACTGATTGAGTCGCTTATCTGCCGTCTCCGTCCTGCTCGCTGACAGCCTCTCCCCCAGGTATCAATCTGCACATCAGTTCTTTATTCCTGGGTGAGGGAAGAGCTGTCAAGGTTGCAGCTACACTGTCATCTTCATCTAAGCTGCCAGCTGCCCTTCATCGCTTAAAGACCCTCTTTAACATGTGTGTGCTTTGGGAGCGGGCCACCGCATTGGAGGTAAGGAGACAGCAGCAAAATTTCATTTGCTCCGGGGGTGCCTGGGGATTGATGGATTGGGTCTCGTTTGTCAGGGTGCCCATAAATAAACAAGACTTTCCATGCTGTAGATTCAGCCCCACTGTTTCTCCTGCTGACTCCCTGCAGGCGCACGCTGGCTCCTGGACACCCAACGCAGGGAGAGTGGCAGGGTGCTGGGACCCCTGCGGGACACGAGGCTCCCCCAGGCCAGGGCCACCATCAAGGCGGTAGGACAGAGTGAAGAGAGGGTGGAGAAGACAAGCATGTGGGGCCAGGCATGGCTTTGGGGTTTGCTGGGAGTGCCTGCTGCCAGGCACCTCTAGTGATGCACAAGGTAGGGCTGAAGCTGAACTGCAGAGGACCACGCCGTCCTGGTCACTGCCTGCCATTGCAGGGCAGTGGGACCAGGACAGGGCCACGCTGGTACCCGGCACCTGGACTCTGGTGAGGTGGCTGAGCTGGTACAGTCTGGCCTCCTGCATGTACCTGAGGTTGGCTGGATGGAGGCAGAGAGGCAGGCTGCTCGCTGTGTGGTGCCTGTGCCACTGCGCCTCAGGTCAACCCCAAGCCCCACGTGCAGCTTGGGCATCCCTGCAGTGTCCCCTCAACCCTCATCCCCCAGCCGGCTGCTCCTCGACACATGGTTGCTCTGCAGAAGCCTTGCCTGCACCTTTCTGCTCAGCACCGAGCCCTCTTAGGCCTAAATGGTGTTCTTCTTGGCCTAAAACCGCAATCCTCCCTGGGGTCGCTGGCAGTGCCAGCACAGGACCCATGTCAGCTTTTGGCTTTGCGCTCAGGTGCTGCTCTTGGGCCAGAGCAGCTTCCAGCCATCCCTGGCTCCGGGAGGAGAGGCTGTGTCCGAGCGGGAGGACGCGTGTGAGCGCAGGGTCCGCATACAGCACCACATCGACTAGGGGTGACAGGCAGCCTGGGGTGACCTCCCCATGGGGACAGGCAGTGCGCAGCAAAGGAGGGTGGCGGGCATGGCCCGTGTGCCCCCAGCCATGCCTCAGTTTCCCTGGGGGGTTCTGGCTGCCCGTAAGCTTCTTTGTTTGGTTTTCTTGTTGTTGCTTCTTTATAAATGAAAAAGCAACTGAAACATAATCTCTACCATAATGTTTATTAAATAGTAATTTTAAAAGGTTTTTATACAAATCATATAAACACAGTTTGATTTTTTTTTTTTTTTTTTACACCTAAGAATCACAGTAAAAGCTCTTTAAGTCCATAAGTCCTGGCTCAGCCAGTGAACGGTCAAATACCTTGAACTGCAAACCTTGGAGAAGTTCCATTTCGTAATGGTTTAATTCCCATGCTCACCCCCAGCACCTTCCCACAAAATGAAATCACCCAGCACTGCAGCCCGCCCGTTAGCAACACATCCTCGCCATGGGAAGGGTGTGGAGGCAACAGCCCATTTCAGCAACGGCATTAACACCGATTTCTTTTTTTGTTTTCCTTTTCTGAATTTCACAGAGGGAATCGTGATCAGCAAACCTAATCTATTTGCAGAGGAGGATGCAATGAATTGAATACACTGATGACACTTTTTTTCCCTGTTGAAGTTACAATCAAACACAGTTTTCTGTAGTAGAACAGTAAAGCACCCAGCAGAGGTAAGTGAGGTATCGGCTTTGCAGCATTATTGGCCTGCTCCCGCCCGGCAAGCACACGCGCGTGGGCCCTGCCCCGTCTGGAAGGGGCAAGCGGGACACGCAGGGCGGATGCTTTGCTGGGCCCATGCCAAGTTAGTGCCAAGATCAGCAGTACTCTCCTGCCCCAGATCAAGAGATACGTTAACACGAGTCAGTCCCACGGAATAAGTCACATACACAATACATACAGAGAATTCACGTGCGTGTGCAAACACACTATTTCTGAATATATGTATATACGAACTCTTCTCTCTGTACGCCTACTAGACACCATACGTCACCTTTTTAATTATATAGTTTCACTTATTGTTTGCCTAAGTCGACTTTTCTACTGTATGGTCCTTTTCCATTCATCCTTCCCCTCTCGCATGATTTGAAGGGGATAAAATCGAACAGCAGCAATCCAGCTTTGAAATGGTCTGGTACATTTCCTCCTACTGCCTCTGTTTCTTTTGTACAGTCAAATAACACCCCCGTGGAATTCGTCCACGAAGAACGCCAAAAGAAATAAGGTGATTGGAAAGGAGAATCTGAGATACATTTACTGCTGTTTCTGTTGGGCGCACAGCGTGAAGTAAAGAAATGGAGGCCTTTGTGCGTGTGTGTCTCTGTGTGTGCGTGTATGAACCGTGGACGTTTGGACGACTCAGCTGCTGGCATCCACTCCCCCAGTAACACTGCATCTTTCTTCCTCTAGAGAAGTCTTTTTTATGTTCCTAAAAACTTACTGTCTGATGGAGCTCTTTGTGAAACACGAGACAAATGTTCCTATTCCCACCGCACCGAGGAGCAGCTGTGACACTGTCCATGCTCATCTCCTCTCCAGATGTTACTCGTCTCCCTGAACACCTGGCCTCCCACAGGATGTGTTTGCAGGGGCTGTGCAAGTTGAGCTTCACAGCACATCACACCTTCAGCGCCCTGTGGTTTTTAAGGAAAAAAAAATCCACCCCCAACCCAAACTATTTGCTAGGCAAGATGTGAAATCAGGACATGTCAAGTATTTCCAGAGAGCTCCTGGAAAAGCAAACCCAGTGTGCTGGAAAGGTTTCGCACTTATGTATGTGCAAGCTGATAGAGGCAATCCATCTGTACCGAATTGGAAATGAAGGCATTTGTTTGGGGCCCAGCATCTGAACTCTTTTTCTCCATTAAATTATTTTCATAACACTCCTCTCCCACGGCACAGGGGTAAGTGGAGAGGTATCAGCTGCCAGACAATGTAGCCAGACCACTTGAAAGTAGAAGGACCAGACTTCTTCAGCCAGGCTCTACTCAGTAGAGAGCGGTGAAGAAGAGCGTTTTGCTGGGGAAGGATGAAGGCCTCGCTTGTGGTTTGATACAGCACTGATCATCAGATGGAGGAAAAATACTTCTTCTAAGGCACTTGTTCAAAGTAAAACAAAACACAGCTCATAAATAAAACTTCGGGTTTTTGCTACTGATCGGGAGCAACGTAGCTTTGCTCCAAAGGGGATGCGACGGCAGTGTTTGGTCCATTGGTGCCGACAGTGCCAGCTCGCGCCCCCCAGCTCCAGGGAGAAGGGGAGCATCGTGAAGGCAAGGCCGGGGGGGGAGCAGGGGGCACCATGGCTGGACTCCCGGGGCCCTGGGCACAGCTCCAGCCTCCTTCCCTGTTAATTTTCCCTCCCTGGCACTTCTGAGACATCTCAGTGCTGTGCCCCATGTCAAACCCCGAGTGAAGCCCCCTCCCCAAAGCCTCGTCTGAGCACTGGGAGCCTGACAGGCTCTCTCTTTTGTTTGCTGCAATTTTCTCATTATAGCCAAAAAAAAAAGAGAAAAAAGAAAAAGGGTAGGATCAAGTGGGGTGGGAGATTCAAAAAAAGGCCTGCCTGATGAAGGCCTCAGCTGTTGCAATCCAAAATCTGGATTTAATAAATGGCTCTTATTCACAAATCACTTTAAGGCTCTTCAGCTTCTCTCAAAGAGGTGCTTCTACACATAGGGTTTCCTTTCTAGTTTATTTCTTAATGACTTCAGAAAGTGCTGCTGTTACCATCAACACTAAAGCCAGTATCCCACCTTTCACCAGGAGAAGGAAAGTTGAAGGTAACAACATGCTTCCATTTTCAGGACTGGAAACTGCAACTTCCTGGACTTAGTGTGAAGTGCACAAATCCCTACAGCCAAAAAAGTTGTCCGGACAGGGTCTAAAATGGACAGGGTCTCTGCACATGTGTGATTTCTAAAGACAGGGTGGCTGATGAAATCCCTCAGCCTTCTCAGCAACTCACCAGAGAAAGGAGGTGGGAAATAACGATCAACATTTAGTTTCTCACATCCAAAAGGTAAACCAGTCACCCTCGCCATGTCCCAGCCACTCGCATCAGCAGAAAATGAAGATGAACCAACAAACAGGGGTCTCAGTCCCCCCTTGCCCAGTACAGTCCAGTTTGCGGGAGTGCCCGCTTGGTCCTGGCGGAGCGTGACTCACCGGTGGGAACTGGTGGTAGGAGCAGCACCTCCCCTCACTCCTCCCGCACTCCTCCTTCCCCGTTATGGCATTCAGTTCCCATAGAAAACAGCAAAAAAAGTAACCCCCCGCCAGCCCACCTCACCGGGCGCAACACCGAGGGTGGTCCCCAAGGCACCCATCAGGCCTCTGAGCAGCACTTCTGGTGGTTCATCTTGACCTTGTGCTTGATGCCGTCGTACAGCTCGAAGTTGTAGTTCTCCAGCGTGGTGGAGCTCCGTGAGGACAGCCCAGCGTATGAGCACGTGCAGTAGAGGAGCAGACCGGCACAGATGGCCCCGAGGAGGACGCCGAGGGAGCTCATTGCTATGATGGTCACCAGGATAGGATCGAGGGTGTAGAGCCAGCTTTTTTCTTTGTCCAGCTTCGGGGTTCCTGGAGAGTTAGTAGAGAACAGTGTGTCGTTCCTATCCGATCCAAAGTAATCTGCAGTGGAATGGGCACTTATTATGCAGGGATCACTCTTTCACCCCCACCTTTATGCATGCTTACTTGGAGCTGTTATGGCTTTACAAGAGTATAAGCCCCCCCATAGGTACATCTCAGCAGTATTCTCTAACCCAGGCCTAGAAGTAATGTGAAGCATGGAACTACCAAGAAAGTTAGGTGCCCTAATTCACTTTTAACTCTCAGGTGATGTAAATAGCATGCTAGCATTTTACACCCACTGAAACTCTGGCCCTTCAAGTGCCATTGAGTTCAAAACTACAGAAACAATCTGTCACAGCTCCCAGACTCAGTTTTCTCCATTTACAAGTCAAAATGCCACGCAAGCAGCAATTAATGCTTGAAAGATCAGTTCCACTTGTCCTAACACAAACACAATATATTGACTTTGCAAGGTTGCTTGCTGTTGAAAAAGGAAAACAAGAAAAGTAAATTAAAGTCTTTGCCCAGGCACTGAGCCACCACTTGTATGTACATTCTCAAGCGTGTTCTAGCTCGTAACCCTTGTGTACATTCTCAAGCATGTTCTAGCTCCTAACGCCCATTAAAGCTGAGGTTTGTGAGTAATTTTAGCATCTGATACAGAAACACAAGCTCCCCCAGATATATTGTCCATGTGGCATTTAGGTACGAACCTGGATCATCACTGTCTTCAAAGTCTTGCTCAGAGACTGGAAAGTCATCCTCCATTCTTGGGAAGTTCACTAGAACAACAAAATAGGAAGCACCATTTGTTTAAAGAGGCCTTTCGGGCGCATTATTGCCTCTGGTCACTGGATTGCGAGACTAGCCAGAAGAAAGCAATAGCTGAACTACTGCAAGGCTCTTCCTCATGGAAGAAGGAAGAACTCTTCCTCTTCTTCCTCTGGCCAAAGTTAACTGAGACTCTTACACACTCCAGAGAACAGGATCTGCCCACTACATCACATTTCATGACCATCAGATGACCAGCTTTTAAGAAGAAAAGAGAGCGAGCGAAAAGCAAAGAAACCAAATAACTTGAATAGCACTAAAATATCATCATGGGTGCCTGTGTAATGGCCATAATTCACTATTAACATGCTCATGGGTATTATCCTTACAACTTTGAACAGGATCTTAGAGCCTATCATTACTTGGCACTAATGCCAGATCCATTTAGCACACACTACTTTTCATCTTTTCCCATACATCTTACTGGACACAGAGCTTCAATGACCCATTGGGTTTCAGATAAATTCATAGTAATTTGAGGAAGTCATGTATCATCATTACATGTTTTAATGCAAAAGCTGGTTGAAATGGCGAGAGTGGCAAATGGGTGTCCATATCTAGTCATTTATGTTAACATTTCTCTGATCCAAATTCCTTTTAATGGTGACATTTCTTTTTATTGTTCAGCACAGATAACACACTAGTAATGTTATGCTCAAATGTACATGCTGTAATCTGAGCAGAAGATAGGTATTTTCCTATGCAGTCTTCCTAGCATTATCGCCTTCACAGTTACCATGTTTTCAGGTTTTTCCAAAAGAAAATGTCCTTTCATTTTGATCTGCTTAGATTTTTCAAAGCTGGCTGTAACTTGGGTTGCTCAACTGAGAAGGCACCTCGAAACGAATGCAGAAAATCAGGGAATACTAGAAAGCGGTAGAAGTCACACCTTTGAAATAGTTGTAGTTGAAAACCAAGGCTACTTCACGTCTTGTGCAAAAACGGCAAGAAGAGTTTTGAAAGATTACTTAAACCCAGCCAAAATCAAAAAATGTAACTTGTGCCTAAAAAGCCACATTCAAAGACGTTATTCAAAATGTTAGAAAATAATATCTGTGCATATTTGCACAGAGATTTAGGACTGGAAAAGTCCTTGTGAATTGCCAAATCTATTTTTCTGCTATCTCAGAAATGGTACCAGCTAATCCCCACCAGTGACATCTCAGGGTTCACTTCCAGAGCAGGGGGCTCTGCTTAATGCCACACTGCCCCAACACCACCTCACGCCTGACTGCAGTGATCCTCCTGCTGGTACTGATGATATCTTCCCAAATACCCATTCTTGGGGTAGAACTGCCTTTTGCCCTCTGCACGCAAAGGATTAAGGGATTTCTTTGCATTTTCAAGCAAACCTGGCAACAGGAACACACAAAACCCAATATTAGCTCCCCCTGACAATGGGCTCTGCATCCAGTGAGCCAAGTAATTAAGCCGACTCCAGGCTGCTGGTATCTTGTTGAAGAAACATAGGTGCACACCATCTTCTGTAAATCCTCACTTTAGCAGGGAGTTCACATGATTTCCCAACACTTCCAGAACTGACAGGCCCAGATGGCAACATCTTAGGGCTGGGAGAATTGCCTGAGGGCCTCTTGCAAACATTTAGAGCCGAACATGTGGAACAATAACTTGCAAAGCAGTTTGCATGCGGAGATGTCCGCTTTGCTTGTCCTCCGTCAGAAAGCAAGCAGTGAAATTTGCCGTCTGTGTCACCCACACAACCCTACAGAAACCGTAGGTCACTCTAACATGAACAAAGGTGGAAATTGGACCACGCTCTGCCCACAGAGCCCACGTGCAGGGAAAGGCTGCTGGAAATCTTTTGCCTTGCCATATTGTAGTTCCTCTAAATTTTGTGTGAGAACAAGCTAGTAATTTGGTGCTTTTTTATTTCTCAGGGTAGCCTTGAGGGAAAAGCCAGAAAAAACAAAGTATCGGTTAATCAACACTTTCGAAAGAACGTCAGTTCTTCCAGACTGAAAGGAAGGAGCGCTGGGAAAACTTGAAAAGAGAGAACATTTATACAAAAAGCCCAGGCCAAAATCTATTTATTCTTCTAGAAATTTTCTCAATTCCCCATGCTACTACGACTCCAAGTCCTGATTAAATGCTATCTTCCTCCTCACCCATTTTCCTTCCTCCTCAGGCCCGTGGTAGGCCCTTATTCTTCTGTTCCCTGCATGCCATTTCATTGCGCTCAGATTGTATGTTGTCACGCAGGGCTGTACGCTGGCTTTGGGAAAATACAACCCGACATTTCTTTTTCCATACTGGGGTTTCTTAAGTCATTAACAAAATCAGCTCTGGCTGTGTGGCTGTCTGTGGGAATTGAAGCTGGTGGTCTCAACTCAGGTCCTAGTGGAGATGATTTCCCGTCACAGAAACTAGCCTGCTATTTGTCATCAATTAGGCTCTTTTGTGACAAATCTGAGCAATATTGTCACAAGTGGAGCAGGCCCTTGGAAAGCAGTCCCCAGAAAAGCCCTGCAAGCTGCTGGGCAGAATGGGAAAAACATTCCTTGCCCTGTGCTGTGCAGAGCTGCTTCCTTAAAGGGCAGCTTTTGGGTGCACTTTACTTTACATTTTAAAAGGAAAAAAAAAATATACTGGAGAAAGGTAGAGAAGGAAGTTGGGGGGAACTGCACTTAAACAGGAGTGCTTTCTCCTGAGTGAAAGGCTCTTAGTGTGTGCGCTGAATGGTAGCTGTGAGGACCTAGCCAGTCATGCCCAAAAGATGATGTTAGTGATGCTGTTGGAAACAGCCGGATGCTGAGAAAAGGCTCCTATCTGTTGGATCTGAGAGCACTGCCAGCTAAAAGGCTAATTGATGGGACCTGGAAAAAGAAAGATGAGATTCTAATCAAAGACAAGGAGCAACTTAAGTACCGTGTTCATATGAACTCACATGGAGGGAGAGCTGGAGGGAATTAGTATTTGAGGAGATTAAGGGGCTTTAATGTACATCTGTTTTAAAATAGTATCAGGGGCAGGAGGGATTGGGACGGGGAGGGGTTTACTGGAAGGGGGTTGATGTGCTCAATATGCCTTGCCAGGGCAGACAGAGGAGGCATAAGAGCAGATGAGGTTCTCTGGTGTCCCACCACAGACATACACCTGCCTCTTGCAGAAAGCTCTCCAAACCCGCCCAAAGCAGCTCACCTCTACAAAGCTGAGGCCAGCACATCATATGGCCTGGCATGTGCTTCCTGCTGCCAGCCCTCCCGCACGGGCTTACCAGCAGTGTCCACCGCCTCAGGCAGAGACCTCTGATCCAAGCCAAGAGCTATGCCCTGGGAGGGGATATCCAGTCCCAATTTCTTGAGCCTAGACACTTTCCTCCAAGGCAAATGACCACCACTGAGGAAAAAATTGCTGTTTCTTTCTAGACTGACTTTCTCTGGGTTAAGCCTGGGTACTGAGCGCTGCTGCTCCATCCCAGAGCAGAGCTCTGCCTATCGCCATGCATCTCCCTACACATGGGCATTTGTAGATGGTGGGCACAGCGCCTCTCGGGCTCTTTCTAGGTGAACAAAATGAGCCTCTCAGCAGGAGGTGCCTTTCCCAAAGGACAGGTCAAACTTGCAACAATTTCCAGCCCTTTTTGTTGCCCACCCGCAGCCTCTCCTGTGCCTGGAGGGTGCTTGGAATTCGCTCTGCTGTCCCCGTGCTCCTGCTCCCCACTTCCAGCAGAGGTCCGTGGGCTCTGGGGCTGACTGGGGATGCACCAAGTGATGGTGGCTTGTGAGCTCTGCTACCTACCATCTTTCACTCCCCAGTAACATCTGTGGCTATGCCTCCTGGTACAAAAGAGGGTGCCCAATTTTCCTCTGGTCCTTCCCACAGTGGGGAAACAACCATGTGCTGTTCACTTCTCCAGAAACAGCACGTGCCCTCCTATATGCTCTCCTTTCTCTCCTGCTGCCACAACAGCCATCTCAGCTCGTGCTATCCTGCCTGGCAAGAGGACCATCGGAGGTGCACAGCTGCTCTGCTGCCAAACAGCACCCACGAGGGCCTCAAACATTAAATCCAGCTAAGCCTGGGAAAATGGGGTCAGAAATTTCCGCTCCCCAGCCTTGGCAGAGAGAGGCAGAGCTCCAGCTCCACTCAGATCCTCGCTTTTCTCCCTTTGCTCATTCCCAGCCCCTTTCTCTCGGCAGCAATAGCGTGACTCCAACACACATCACTTTGTTTTGACAGAGCGGAGCAGCCGCTGTGGCCTCGCCTTGACACCGCTCCGTTTGGCGGCGGCGCAGGGCTGCTCCTCCGGCTGGGAGCCCTGGGGGCTGGGGGGGCCGCACCTCCCACCCTCGGTGAGCGGGGAAGCGACTCTCAAAGCAGCAGCACATGCACCAGGCAGAAGCACTCCCTCTGAATCCCCCATTGCTCTATTTCCAGCCGAAAAGCTGCCTCACTTCTCCCTTTCCCACTCCTCCAGAAACACAGAATGATCTTAGTTTACAAAAGAGCTAGATCCCTGCCAAATTTCAAATTAAAACAGTGCTTTGCCTACAGCTGAGCATTAAAGGAAGCAAACAAGCCCTGGCCCGGCCACCCTCCGCAGTGCGGGAACCCCCGGACCTTATCCTCAGAATGCCCCGGAGCTACCCCAGCAGCGGTGCACACCGTGGCACCATCTTCAAACCGGGTGGCACCGAGGAGCTTCTTGTGTTCCTTGGGCTTCCCGTATGCAGGGAAGATGGGGAAGAGTGGCTGGGCAGGTGAAGACGCCCCCCCAAAAGCACAGGGAAACGAGAAGCCAGGCTGGGTGCTTGGTGCGGAGGCGAGGAGCAGGCAGCTATTTCCAGTGCTGGTGCTGCCCTCCGACGCGTGGCACCCTGCCCTTGCCGCACGCACGGCAGATGGCCAAGGCCCAAAGCAGGGACTCTGCCAAACCCTCCCCTCAGCAGCCACATCCCTCGCTGCAGCCCAACCCTTTCCCTGGCACCTC